CAGTAAACTGCTTACACAGGAACAGGGAGATGTGAGAGCAAAACAGTATAAAGAGTCCTCCAAAGTCTTCTTTTTGATTCACAATGAAGAGGACAAATGTGGTAATTAACCTTTATCATAGCAACATGAAGAATAAAAAGATGAGTTATGCTTCAAGCAAGAACAAATATCTGTAAATAGGGTATGAAAATGACTTTGTTTTAAGTGGATTTTTCTTAGCATGTTGGCAGATACCTGTTCTTGTTTTAATCATAAACTTGCTTTATTTTGATCAATTTCTCAAAAAGCAAGTCTTCTTATCTCAAGAAACATTGCATTTGCCTTTTTGCAGTTGCTGATATTTTACCTGGGCAAGAATGAACACAACTACGGAAGGTCAGACTGGTCGTGGAGAACCCAGGTAAAAAAGATGTTCTCCCCCAATATGCAGCAAAGCATGTACCTCAGATTGATTGTTTGCAGCATTCTGACAGTCTTAGAATAATGTAGGGTTGTTGTTTTCCACTCCTTTCTTCAGTATTGAAATGGATACTGACAGCTCATGTAATGTAAAGCTTAACAGATTATTAGTTAATATACATTCAAATAGCTAGAAATGTGGACAATGTGCTTGTTAATGTTTACTAAGAAACTATTTAAACATGACCTAATAATTATTTATTTCATGTAGATTAAAATACTTACAAATGGCATTCAACTTTCAATTTCATTTTTAATTTCAATTTGTTTGTTAATGATTTATTAATGAAAGTTATTATAAAGTGTTACTGACATTTGGATTGGAAAACCAGGCAAAATACTGATAAAGAGCTTTTTTTTTTTTTACAGTATGATTGAAAGGTACAGTAAAAGTAATTTTCACATTCTAGTTTTTGGGAGTGGAGTTATTCAACACTTAAGCTATTTTTTTTATTAAAAATGAATGGAGATTGGTATGGAGTTGTATTTTCAAACATCAGTGCTGCTAATACAACTCATTCACCCTATACATTTACATTAAGAGAACATTATGTTCCCTTCAAATTAGGGATGCACCGATACCCGTCTCGGTATCAGGCCCGATACTGAGCTCCTGTACTCGTACTCGTTAAAATGTTCCGATACCAAACACCGATACCACACAGCATGTGATAAGCGCCATATTCAGACAAAGAAACACGACAACAGAACAACAGACAGCAGAATGGAGTTATTAGAGATTAAGGATGTCTACGAAGTGTATGTATGCAATGAATATAATGTTAAACATTCAGTATTAACGCCTGTATAGCTGATGTGCGCGAGTTGATAAACAAAGCACGCTGAGTGGATTGAGTGCGCGGCAGCGCAGATGCGCGAGCTTGTTGAGTGAATATATCTTTCTCACAGACATCACTGGAAAGTTTGTAGTTCGGTCGGATATGTCAAAAACAAGTAAGTAAAACAATGCACAAGTTACTTAACGGTAGGGAGAGAGAGAGACAGAGAGAGAGAGAGCGCAATTCTGTTGTGTGATCTTTGATGTTCACTCAAGTTCCTTTGGAATTCTTCCGCTTTTAAGAACTACCGCTTTCTCCGGTAGTGGGCGGAACTAATGCGCAAACGGCAATCTCATAATCCTATCATTAACCCTTTAACGCGTACGTACGATCACACCGGTGTGATCAGTCTTGGCTGGTCCCTGAAG